GGGGAATGGGGCCGCGAGTCTTATCGTTTCCTCACTCGGAACCGACGTGCCCCGTCTACCCGAGCACTGGGATCCGAGATGCTCCAAGATCGATACTTTGCGCAAGGGAAACGGGGGATGGGATATTTTGGATATTTTTTTCGGAATTTACCGCGTACTTTGATCGCGATAAATTCCCAAAGATACACTAACACTTTGAAACGTCCAAACGCGAGACGCTATAGAAAAGTGCTAGTTTCTCACCATCCACCCCCCAAGTTCTTTTCTATCGCGTCATCTCACCGACACGCGCGAGACACAGAAATAGACAAGTGTCGGCTGTGAAATACAACTTGTCGCTCCCCTGCCTAACGCGTTGTCTTCCGGTGTTCATATTTAACGAGTCAACTTTTCGTCGAACCGCCTGAAAGTTTTCAAGTTCTCTAGTGGATCGAGTTCCCTCCACACACACACACACACACACACACACACACACACACATCCCCCTCCCCCCGTCTAGCTACGTTCCCGGCGTCGTCTACAAAGCGCTACCAGGTTGTCGTTAACGCTTCGGCTGTCGTTGGATCGAGAGGAGCGTCAACAGCTGCGGCCGATCATCGTCTTTCGTGTATCCTTGCACCTTGCTCTGCTTCTAGGCCCCTTAAGTGGCCTCCGCGAGAACGACTGCGCGATACAGAGCCTCGACTATTAATGGGAGCTCGATAAACACGTGGAATGTTGCACGGTTCGCGCAACAGCTAATGGAACGCCCGGAGAGACGATGACAGGACCCTCCGTTTCAATTTATCCTTCCTCCGTCATCGACGTACTTATCGATTATTTTCTATTTATGAATTTCATTCGCGCGATCTCTAGTTTCATTTTTCTACGCCTCGAATGTATTTTAAGACAGTTTTATCCAAAATTGAATGACTTAAAATTAGGAAAACCCGCTCAGATTTAAAAAAACTGGAATTTATAAAAACTACCGTGCACGCGATCTCGTCGAGATTGCTACGTTTATCTCTCGATTCCTCGAGTCGCAAGCTCGACGAAATTACTGTCATTTTTCCATTCGTGCCCCGAGCCCGATCGATACGTCAGCGTCGGTACGTGTGCGATAAAATGCAACGCAAACAGAAACAATCGCGCAAAGACAATATTTACGCATTACTTGTTTCTACTTTTTCGCTGGTCTTGTAATCTAATCGAGAAATATAACAAAGTTTGTATTGCAATGTTTGCGATATTGTCGTTCGATCTACAGCGATAATTATTATCTTGTTTTTAGCGCAAAAATTTATTCGAGCGCGAACACATTTCGATAACTATACTCGTCAAACTATACTTGCGACGAAACAAACTATTCCGAATGAAAAAAGTACTTGTCTCGATCGACCTGCAACTTCCCAGCCAACGTGGAAAATATCCCGCCGAAGCGACAATCATCCGTTCGTAGTTTGTAAATTTCTGAAACGTCAAAATAGGCACGGCGCGTGCCCTCGGCTACTTATTACCATTATTTTATTGCATCGCCTCGGGCCACGGTCGGCCATATTTTACTGTTAAACGCGACGTTCGACCCGAGTGTCAGGGTAATGATTTTAAGGCCGTCCATTATGGCACTTTATGGGAGGCTTCGTTTCTAGTTAACGGTGCCGTTTACGCCGTTGCGTCGTCCAAACACGACGATTGTTTAGCACGTTCCGACGACTCTCAGGAAAAGGCAATCGAGTTTGCTCGAGAGACTTCTGTCCTAAACAAGCAAGGTTGCGTCCCCTGCCGCCCATTAGTCCGTCCTCGAACCGACGTTGTAACATTTTATTATTGCCGTTGTTCCGCCGTGTCAAGATTTTACTTGGCCTCGTCACGAAGAAAGTTTAGCCGCTTCCTAATTTTTTCCTAGTATACCTGTCTACAAGGTGACGTTCGAGTTTCCGGTTATTGGAGGAGAAGATTTTCCACGGTCGCAAATATTGTTTCTCGTTGGAAACCTTGGACCCAACCTTGGTCCATTTCGAGCTTCCTCGATACCTGCTCGAATACAGGAATTTTCGTTAGTGACGTGCACGCGTTTCGTTCTTCTCCGAAGGCGTGCATCGCCTGTGAAGAATCGCGATAGAAGCTCTCCCGCGATTGCGGTAAGGCTCGCGAAAAAAAATATCAATTATCCCAACGAGTACATTTAATTATCCCTGTGGCCCGGACGAGCGCTCACGTTATTCCGAAAAAAGCCCTCGCGTTTAAGTAACAAGCACGCATCCAGGGTGGACGCAGGCGAAGGGCAGCCCGTTGACGGGTTAATCTCACGGCTTTACAGCTCTTTTCGAGCGGCGGTGATCGCTGGGTACAGCCCTCCGTGTCCAGCGACCGCGTGTAACCCTCCGAGATACTTTAGCTCCTACGATGATTATTATAATCGGCTGTCAGTGGCTCGTTATCGTGACGGTACGTGAAAGCGTTAAATTAAATTTAAATCTCGCTTCAGGTTTCGGGGCCTCGACGATTCTCGTAGGCGGTTCGCGCTGGCCGAAGGCAGAAGCCGTGAGATGAACTCGGTTAAAAAGAGAAAGGAACGTAAAGAAGTGGAGGGGAAAGACCAGGAAGAAAAGAGATAAAGAGAAGATGCAGAGGGGGAGAGAGTGAAAGAGAGAGAAAGAGAGAGTAAGGTCGAAAAATGAACACGCACGCCTTCGAGTAGTAAACAGGGGAAGAGTTATATCGTAGAGACCCGGTGGTCCTTCCGAGATTGGACGATAATTACCACGTGTGGTGTGCACCGTACGGCAGATAAGTACTATTAATGTCGACCAAGGAAACCGATTTCGACCCTGTATTATTATATACGGGCCTCCCCCTAGCCACCCTCCATATCGCAGTGGCGTCTAGGAGAAATTCACCACCCCGAGCGAGGAACGAAGAACGACTCCCACCAAGGGTGGACTCGACGATGCATTTTCGTCGATTCGAGGATCGTGTAGCGTTCGAACGATATCGGAATCATAAAGTCAAGGGCCAGGAAACAACCTCGCAGAGTTCGAAAGAAAAATCCCATTATTTGCTGAAGAGGAAGGCGGGCTGAGATTTTGATCTAGGTAGCGATTCCGAACGAGGAATCGAAAGAGACGACCTTTCGATCGAAATTCGTCGAACAACAATTTTAACAACTTTTTTATCGAAGCGCGTGGCTGTGTTTCATAATAAAATATCGTGTTTCGTCGGTGTTTTTATAGTTGGAACAAAATATTTTAGTGATCGCTGGCTGAGAAGAGCAGAGACACGCCAAGTATCGGTCTTTCTGGATAATTGCGGGCTACTCGACGAGCATTCGGAGCGCAGCAGGCCGCGATTCGCCGCCGCGAGATTCTTATCTCAAAGGATGGCAAAGCAGAAGGACCATTATCCGTTCGTAAACTTATTTTACATTATTCCGTGGAAAGGTATCGACCTCCTTTCCGGAGACATATAATTCACGTAATTCCGCGAAAAGGGTACCGTGATCCTTTCTCAAATGTCGTGCCACGGACTCCAGGAGTTCTCTTTCACGAAGGACATTCGAGAACTGCCGATGGTCGTTGATCGCGTATCGATATACGTTTATAGCAAACAGAAGTCGAGAAACAAGTTATACGGTTGCATATTCTTAATTGTGGTAGACGTCGAGAAGATAGATTCCCTTGGGTTTTTTTCTTTAATCTAACGGTATTAGCAAAACAGAATTTCGATGAATTCACACGGAGAGCTGATTTTCAAACAATTAAAGGCCACGAGTGACAAACTATTTAAACAGGCGAGAGATATACATTTTCTTTGGTTTAAGATAGTTGGCGCGTTGGTATCGTCTCTAAAAACGTAATTTCGTTCAGATCGACAAATATATATATCTATCTATCGCTTTGTTATTATTCCGAAATTCCCGCTGGAAACGCATCTATATCCCTGTCATCGTCGTCACTCTGTACAAACACTGTTGCGCAACGCATTCCTCTCCTAACAAGACAACGCGCCAGATGGAATCCTCGGAGATTATCCTCACGGCTTTCGTACGCGTGAACGAGCGATCTCCGACTCTCCGGGGACCCGGGCCACGGATCAAAGCCAACGATCCTTCTGATTAAGATGGAATTAGGAAGATAGTTGCACGCTGGAACGGGGAGAGCGTCGGTTTATTTTTTCACAACCATTTCACGACGGAAGCACCTGCTGTTTCACCGGACAGAGAGAGCTCTACGACTCTGGTGAATCCGACGTCAGAGTCACGGTTAGAGCCTGGCAGGCGCGAACGAAGAACGACGTTCTTCCCTCGCGTTGAACAAAGAACAACAGGCTCCGAACAGGGTTATTACCGGCTTGTTAGGCTGGAGAAGGCAGCTGCTCTCCATTTAAGTTCGAACAATTAAATTGTCTGGTCCCGATCCGACCACCTTTAGTCATACCTACTCATCCCTTCGCTGTCCCGGTAATAAGATGACCGATCGAGTGGCTCACGAAATGCATTATTTCCTGCGTTTAGCGGCGACCGCTGCTCGCCGCAATTAGCTGGCCAACGATGATACCATCGGCCTCTGGGTTGACTGGGCTCGATTATTCCTGTGACGTTTCTAACGAGCCAGCGTTCCGCGCCGATGGACCGTCACCGTAGTCAGTTTGTCTCAAACCTGTCCTTAGGAACTTCTAAACACCCGATGGAGGCTCGTTAACGAACGTGTTAATCGACTTCCATGCGGCGATCCTGGGACTCGTGGTCACGCGTTCGCCGATAAGGAAACGAACCGAGATTTCCGAGGGGGAAGGATCGCCGTTAGGGAGACGATCCTCGCCGGTATATTAATGAAACCGACAGATCGTGACCTGTCAAAACAAACCGTACCAGACCGATCTCTCTTGGAGGGCATTGCTTTTACTCCTGGAATAGTTTCGCTCTTGAAACTAAAAATAGCCGTTATTGTCATCGCTTTTACTTAATACTTCATAAGTTTGGACATTTTCTGAATTTTCCTGATGTCAAGTTTTCTTTGCAGGTCGAGGGTGCGTTTGGAGATCGATCAGGAAGTTGGCGCACTGGAACGCGTAATATGGAGCCCGCGATTCATCCGGTGACGTCCGAAACTCGGCACGGAGAGTTTCGAGCGGAACGACAACATTTCCTGGCATTTTCGATGATGGATCGTTGACGTCGTCGCGCCTCGAGTGTCGCGAAAACGCTCGTATCGAGCCATGTGTCCCAAACGTCCACTTTGACGCAGATTCTTTCAACCCTGTTATATACTTGGTGGTTGTTCGCGTAAACGCGTGGTCAGCGAACACGCTCTCCACGTATCCAGAAATTACCAATTCGGTCTAACGCTTGAATGTTGCTCTTTACTCAGCCTGTCTCTCTCTCGCTCCGTTGACCACCGGGGCGAGGGCGGTCCGCGGAGGGAACGTTAGCGGTTTTTCGAACTTTCTGGATTCGGAAGACTTCGAAAGCGTTCCAAAATCGCGAACCGTTAGACGTCTTCGACGCAACGATGATTATTAGCTGTCTATCGCTCGTCTCGTTAGGATCGTCAGTAATCGCTCTCTCTCTCTCTCTCTCTCTCTCTCTCTCTCTCTCTTACGGACGCCGTGCTTCGGACCGTTACTTTGTCGGACTCGAACTGTCGCTTCGATTAGTAATTTTTGCTATTGTGATCTGCTTTTGTAAATATCAATTGTTGTGAACTATAAATTTAAAGACGAACACAATACATTTTGTGTAAAACTGTTTGAATAAGCTCTAAAACCTTAGTTGTCATTTCACTCGCGATTCGATCGATCCGAACATTTCCATTTTGCTTGTTAAGTTAATCTGTCAACGGTTAACATAATTATCGTTTAAAAAGTCGTAATTGTACTCATCAAAAAATCAATATGGTTCGACGGATAAAATGTAATAATAATAATAATAATAATAAAACAACAAATACTTTTAGCCTTAATTCCATTAATACCGCAATTCCTTCTCCTTTATCTACGAGAAATGAAGATATCCTTCGGAATAATTTAATGGAGTCTCAATTTCAAACGTAATGTATCGCTAGTATTAAAACATGTCTCATCTCATCACCGTTTAGTCGCTAACTCGCTACTCTTGGCAGCCCTCGGCTCTTCGCTCGAGGCCTTGCTGCTTTTGTTTGAGGAACCGATCGGAAATTATGCGAAGAGCAGAGCGAAACGGCGGGGTTAAGTGGCTGAGGAAGGAGCGAGAAAGCGAAGGAGAATGACGTCTAAGGGGTGGGGAACGAGAACGATTGGGTAGGATGAGAACGGCATGCAACTACGGGTCCTCCTGCACGGAGTATCCATAATGACAGATTACCGCAGCATTAATTCCTTGTTCAACCAACAAACAACCTACCCGGCATGCCGTTTAAGTAATAAAATATGGCGGCCGTGCCCTAGGCATGGACCTGAAGAATGGTCCATGGACTAAGTTACTAGGCGAGGGAAGTAAAGCAGAAAGTACCAGGAGAAAATCACGTCTTCGGTCGCCATTTCTGGTGTTATCTACTTAAAACGCGAGGACTTGAATGCCTATATATATTTAAACGATATGAAGCGTGATATCATTTAGAATCCTGATGAATATCTAATCAATATCGAGTATTTCCCTTTATTTCCTTACATATATCCCTTTAATTTCTCTTCATTTCCTTACATATTTCCCTTTAATTTCCCTTCACTTCCTTACACATTTCCCCTTAAATTCCCTCTATTTCCTGGTATACGTCTGTTTGAAACTTTAACAACTTTGCGAATCGTCCCGCTCCTGATTCAACAAAGTTGCAAAGACGTAGTCGGTTTTTCGGATTTTTACACATTTTGCCGAACATCTGAGTTGCCACTTTGAGCGCTGCAACACTGTTGAAGTTTCGAGCGGAGCAATTGCGACATTGTTAAACCAGGAAATGTCACAGATATAGAGCGAATTTGTAGGGAAATGTACCAGGAAATCCAGGGAAATATACCAGGGAATGGAGGAATATTAATGGAAAAAGTGTAAGTTAATGAAGGGTAATATACCAGGAAATGAAGGGAAATTAAGGGGAAATATGTAGGGAAATGAAGGGAAATTAAGGGGAAATATTTAGGGAAATGAAGGGAAATTAAGGGGAAATATGTAGATGGAAATGGTCGACTATCGCCGGTTTACTCTCCCAGTGCTCGATAACGCGAAACACACCAACCTTTGTCATTATCCCTGTCCGCCAATCTAGGATTCCGAACACGCAGTGACGCTTTAGTATCGTTGAAAACGAAAGTTGAACTATTTCGGGGAATCGATCGATTTCAATGGGCGCGAGCCCTCGGTCGAATGCCTTGGCTGTTAGGTTGCAAGGTTACAGTTTGCCAGAGAAGTTTAAATTTACACTCAACCACGGATTCCGCCGCCGCCCATAACAGTCATTTTTGACATTTAAAAGTCCTTGGGCGACGCATCTCGGACGTAAACGGCAGGAAAACTCATTATACTAATCCGACTTCCTAATTGCGAGCTGGAAAGACGCGAGCTGCCCCCTTTGAAGGGCCGTTTCCGTGCTCTTTTGTGGTAATGTCTTTTGACTCGTCACCGCACGCTCGGACCACCCCACTGTGAATACATTTGTGCCGGAGCTGCTTCTTTAGAAAACGGCAGGTTACGTGACGGGGTTAGATATTTTCTGTCCCCGTTGATCCTAATTATTCCGGTCACCGACACGCTGGTGAAACTCAACCCCTTGTCTCGAGGTTCGTCGCGGCCACGTGATCGAAATTTATCGCGCCGCGGCAGGTCCTCCAGCAGGCTTTAACAAAGCACCAGGAACTCCCATTTTCGTACGAGGAATATCAACGCCCCAAATACCTAGACTTTGTCGATAGTTGTGTCGCTGAACAATTGCATAGGCAATAATTCGTAGCGTAGACTTTCTCGAGATCGACTTATCAACGCCTAGATAACGGATGCATTTACCTCGGAAAGAAGCTTTCGCGAAATCATTTTATTCCACGTTTCTTGTGCGTTTTATCGCATAGATATCTTTCCGATACCAACGGGTAACGGTGAATTCACGCTTATCGATAACTTTTCAACACTCATATCCGGTAAAAGTATAACGCAATGACTCCACGACTCGAGTTTCTTTTCGTATCCATTTTATTTCCAATACGTCGATCAAAAATTGCGAACATTTTTCGCATCGAAACCTCTATCCTTTGCCCCGCCCCTTGAAAAAAACCGTTGAATGCGAGCAGTCGATGCCCGCCAGAGAAGTTTCGCCGGAGGATGAAATATGATTACTGGATTTGTCAAAAACAGCTGTGCCACGGGACATTTGTTGGCCTGGCGTGAAATGAAAGTCGACGGAATTATAACGCGGCGGTGTTCAATTGAAATCGCGATAGAAATATTTTTCGGAGGGCTCTTTCGGTTATTTTGTTTTTTTCAAATGGAACAGTGTATTTCGGAGGTGTATTGATACATGTTTGGAGTGCGAAGAAAATTCAACGCGTGTCGTTCAGCCGTGTCGGATAGATTAGGAATCGAGTTAGGAATTAAGCTACTCGGTTGTCAGATTATAGCGAATATACGGGTCGCGAAAAATGGCGAACTCGCGAAACAGCGCGGGTCTGGCAGCAGACGTCTGGGATAAAAAGTCGTCCTGCCTGTATTTCATCCTGTTTTACGACGCCGATATATTATTACCGTTTCCTATTATCTCGTCCGGGACGTTTCAGTTGGGCTCGTATCGGCGCGGGTGGCGGCCGACACAGGGAGGGCGCTGGAAAGACGACTCCAGGGGCCACGTGCGACACCTTGCCCTAGAAACGACTAGGGTCTCCATTTGTTAAGTCCAGCCGACTCGTAAATCCGCGCTTTTTCCGTCCATAGGGTCGCAAATGGGAGGAAAATGGAGCGGTCAAGGGAAACATCCTCGAATTGAAATAAAAAAAAGTCTTTCATACTTGAGTATCGTAAAAATCTGAAAAATAATTTATGCATGACCAATGTATGCGTGCATATTATAATTATACATATATGTATATGTAAAAAGAAACTACGAAAAGAGATGGTAGTGGGGCGACGGGAGGAGAAGGTGGAGACGTAGGAAAGGAGGTGGAGAAGGAGGAAAAAGGGGAGGAGAAGGTGGTAGGCAAAGAAAAGACGGCAACGCAGGTTGCGCGCGGGTGGTCCCCTGCGGCATAGGTAGATGTCGGAGACGTCGCGCGTTTTTACTCGGTTCTTAGGATGCTTTCTTCGCTGGTTTCCTCGATTTTTAGGACCTAACCGCTGCAAGAAACCCTCGAAACACGATATGCGTTAATCGCGCGAAATGGAACTCCGTTGTTCGATTTCGTCTCGCTGAACTCTGTTCACCACTTCCAGCGTTCATCGTCCTTCGACTCGCTGCTCCAATTTTTTCCCTGCCCTTCCTCTCACATTCTCCAATTTGTTGTTTGCAATTCTTCGTTTGTAGAAAAACAAATATGACTTTTTACCATAGAAAGTATGTGAAGACGAGACGGGTATGAATTTGTTGCTACTCGGGAGTACGTGTCCCCTCAAACTGAAACGGGCGTTACCAGAATCCCTAATTCGTCACGATCACCGTCTGGACGGAGGTCCTTCTCCGGCGAGCCTTTCCAAGTTTCCTCGGTGTCCTCCTACGCGTCGATCCGCAACCGCGCACCGGAAACGTCATGTCTCCTCTGTCAAATTCGTTTCCACCATCGACCAAGTTCCTCTTACTTTGGCCTTGCTCATCGGTCTCGGCTACCCTGCTTACGTTTGGTCCAGACACTTGAATCGTTGGCGAAAAATTCAGCGTGATAAACCGTGTCGTAAACCGACCCATTAGCGACCAGCGAGTTTCGACGTTGCTTCTAGGGAACAACAAGGATTTTCAGCGAGTTGAATAAACTTGACGGTTCCATTAAGACGTCGCGACGCCGCGAAACACGACGTTTCAAGTGCGGATTAAGCGTTTTTTTTCGGAAATTAGATCGGACTCGTGAGAAAAACGCGAATAATTTTGGCGACAAAGAAGACGAGTGAAGCAAGTGTTTCGCAACGAGCCTACACCCCATTTATTACCACGAATTTCTAGCCGACGATGAAGCTTCCTTTGTCGCTTCGCCGCAGCTTC